TTTTAATTTCAATTATAATTGTGGAAGAACATTTATGTTTAGACTCTCTTCAACTGTTACAAAATTGATGTAATTGTTATCAATTAGAGATCTCAAGGACATTATTTGTGATCAATCATGCATCAAAAATAAATTAAAGCATTTGTGGCGTGATACCAATGGTCTGATCTTCTAAACTATACCAACATCTAACTTTGACTTTTTTAAAAAATATTTAACATTTTAAATATGTGTCAAGTTTTTTTTTATTTTTTATTTAAAAAATATTTAATAGATATTTTTTAAAGATTTGGTTTTTTGTGATACTCTCTTTACATCAAATTTTACTTTTATTTTATTTTCAAAAAATATTTAATAAATATTTTAAAATTTTTTTACAAGATTCATTTGATATCAATTGTATGTTATACATTTTTTTTTATTTTTTAAAATATATTTAATAAATAAAATTTTAGGGACCTATATTAAAGGTATGTCATTTGGCAAGCCATTTGATTTTTTTTTCTTTTCAATCTTTTATATTTTTATATTTAATAAATATTTTAAAATTTTTAAAATTTTTAAATGTGAAGTCCATTTGATATTATTATTAAAATATAATTTTTTTATTTGATATTTTTAAGAAATAGATATTAACGGAAGTATCGAATTTATGTCTAGGTTTGATATTTTCATTTTTGATCTTTTTTTTGTAGTTTTTTTATTTTTTAAAAAATTCATGATATTAACTTTTCAAGATATCTTATCATTGCTAATTTATGAAAGTTAGTATTTGATACTTTAATTAAGATATTAGTATTTTAAACTCAATGGGGTTAAGGATGTCAACGAGTATGATACTTGGTTTTTTTTAAGTATTCAAACCCAAATATTTATCAAGATACCTAAATCCAATAATTATCCAAATACTTTTAATTTTTACTACTAAAACCCTGCCTATATAATATAAGAAATACCTGTTAATTACCCAAACTCTCTAAATATTTGTTTATTAAGTTAAAGTTTGACTTTAAAAGTTAAATTTAAAAGTAATTTTAATATATATTATTAAAAATTTAAATTAATAAATTAAAATTAACTCATAAAAATAAATTAAAGTTAAAAAACATATTAAAATATTTAATGAATTAATTTATTGAAGTATTGTATTAATAAAAAAATAACTTTTAAATAAAAAGCTTATATAATATTAAAATTATATTTTTTATAATCGGGTTCGGATATGGGTATCCTAATATCATTGTATGGACTTATGACGAATAGTAATTTTACTACTCAAATATGATGATAATATATCTTAATGCTACTTAATAGGCTCAATTAGGTCCGGGTATTCATTTATAGGGTATCATTGCCATATCTTATTGGGGATGTTTATATGACAAATTTTTATAAGTTTTTTTTATTCCTCTTTTTTTTAATATATATTTTTTATTTTTTATGATTTTTAATTTTTATTAGATATATTTTGTGAGAATAATAAATCAATTTCAATATTTATGTATCATCCCAATTTGATTTGTTTACCTTCGTTTTTTTTTTCTTTTTTAAATAAAAAATTTTATAAAAATAATAAATAAAAAAATTTTTTGAATTAGTGATAAAATGTGAGTATCCACCCAGTATACATTAAAAGTAGACTCCAAATTGAATATTATATACAAGAGTTCCAATTTTGGATCCCATGGCGTACAACGATTGATTTTTCTTAGTTTAGGTATTTAGGACAATGATGGAATTAAATGATTTTTTAAAAAAGTTTGTGACTTTTCAAGAACAAAAAAAATAAAAAAAAATGAAAAAAAACAAAATAAAAAGGACATGTTCGGATAATTTGAAATGGTTGATAATCCTTTTAAAAAAAATTAAAATTTGAGATGATAATTGTCGTGTTTCTGAGATTAACATAAAAAAGGAATAGAGTTTCGTGATAATACCAAACTCTTTCAAGCTAATGAAATTGAATAGATAATAATTCAGAGGAAGAAGTGATGAATATAGTAAAAAGAGGGTTCAACATTGAGTTGGGTAGTTTTGAGTCAAAATCATTTTTTTGAGGTTGATTATAAGAAAATTAGTTTAGGAAAAGAGTTTTAGGTTTTCAACATCTTTTTTCCATTTTTAGGTGTGCTTTCCAGTTTTGGGACATTGATCTTCGTTTTAGAGAAAGAAACAGAAGGAAGAAAGAGGGAAGATAGGGGAAAAATGAAAAAAAAAATTTAATAATTTACAACTAGGTGGAACGAGGTCATTTTGATCATTAAATCCAAGATAGACTTACGCGTTACCATGACCCGACTTAAATCTACTCACGATTCAACTCGCTTCAACAATAAACTGAACCGAACCGCTTAACGGAACCAAGCCTAACTAGGCCATTGTCTGCTGGATTGAGCTATGATTGGAACCAAGTCGTTTATCGAGTTTTTTTTTTGTTTTTTTTCTCTTTTTTAAATTTTATTTATTTATTTATTTGTTATTCGTTTGTTTAGATTAAGTATGGGTTTGAAAATTCATTTTAAAAAACAAATTCATAAAATTTTATTAAATTATTTGAGGATTTATTATATTTTTTAAAAAATAAAATTTGTCAAATTATTAAGATCTTTTATTATAATTTTTTGAAATAAAATTTTATTGAAAAATTTATGAATAAAAAACCATTTCCTAGATTAAGACTTAAAAATAAAAAACCATTTATATTACTAAATGTCCAATTATAATGCTAAATAGTATACAATAATTTTAATAATATATAGTAAATGATTTTTATAATAAAATTAAATATCAAATTAACAATATCATTTTTATTTTTTATTGACAATATTTATAAATATAATAAAGATACTATTATAATATTCATATTTAATTTGTTTGAAATTAATTTTATTTCATAATCAAATTTAAAAGTTACACATTAATTTTGTTGATAATAAATTATTGATATAATTATTTAATAATTATCAATAATAATATTTTTTAATTTAAATTTTGTAGTTAAGAAAAATATTATCATTTATTTTAAAAAAATAAATCATATAATTATAATTTAAATTATTTCTATATAATTCAATTTCTTACGATTTCGAATTAAATTGATTTCAAGTTCAGATCATTACGAATATAAATTATGATGAATTTAAATTATATCCATTTTGAGTTTTATGCTCTCTCACAATTCTCTAAAAAATAACCTATGTTGAATGTAGAAATCAGAGCTCAAATTATACTATCATCTAGTGCCGTGAGATTTCATTCTAGTATAATCTTTATTCTCAAACCCAATATAATTATTTTTTTTTTATTGGGCTTATTTGATGGAAAAACTTTTTCATTACAAGATGTACAAAAATTTTATTGGAAAAAAAAGGAAGACATTTGGCTCTCAATATATATTTTTTTGTTAATTTTTTTGAGAAATTGTTAAAAAATTTTAAATGAGAAGAGATTATGAGTAAAGACATATTTCATTTCTCAAAAAAATTTATATTAAATTTACAAATCGTCCATTAAAAAAATTATTGTCAGTAAAAATCGAATCTAAACTTTATAAACAAAATATTAAATCCTTACTAAGTCAAATCCGTAGACAAAACATTTCATAAACTTTTTTAGTAAATAAACATCTTTAAGATTTGATCATTATTTAGCAAGAGGACATTAGTTCGAGAAATAAGCATCTCACTCCAAAGTTTTGGTCATAATTTATGCTTGAAATGACATTCAACAATGCCATAAATCCTAGGCATTATACTACTAAAAAGAATGCAGAGTATGAGAACATGGGTCTTGGTCAAAATGCAACTATGATAAATTCATGAGAAGATTGATCAACAACAAAATAATAGATAACTTCATCCATTAACATAAATCCTACCTTTTGCTGCTAGTCATAAAAATCAGTCTTACAGGTTGGATTTCTGTCCTCCGGATTAATTCATCACAATGACATGCTAGGCAACAACTTGTTTTCAATGTGAGGTACAGATATCAGTTCATCTTTCTTTCGCAACAAACATAAGCACCTACAATCCTTTCTAATATCTCTTGGCTGCGGCTTCTTTTGTACCAAAAATAATTTTCTTGAGTACCTACAACAGCTCCATCTAGCTCTTAATGAAAAGCAGGCTAATACCCTCTGAAGGAGATAGATTGCTTAGTTGACAACACAGGATTCAATATGTAAATTCGTTAACAACACAACGGGTTAACAGTAGCAAAAATCTATCAAATTCTGCCTGATCTTCTAAGCTTCCTGCCAGCCTTGAGAATGAATTATAGTTTGACCTCAAGAGGCTCTGGAAATTTCATTAACACTTTACCCTTGTGTTTCCATGTAAAACTAATTACCAAGCACAAATTTATTGTTAAAATCAACTTTAAATTACTATAATCATATGCAAAACTTCAAAATTAAGTTGTACAGAAAATCAGACTGATAATTGGCTAGCATAGTCGGACAGTAATATATTACGAGTTTAAATTTGCAAATATCTTATGCATCAGAAGAATTGTGAATTCCAAATGACATTTCTCCATCATCTTGGAGTTTAAGAATTTCACTAGCTAGGATTTACACTTCAAGTTTGAGAAGGGTATCAGTGGTGATTTTATCTTATCATTTGAGTTCGGCATAAGAAGATGTGCTGATTATCCTAGAAAAACACAGATCAACTAAGGAATTCACAAGGAATGGTGTTATACTAACAACATAATCTAAACAGATCAAAGGCATGGAAGCAACCAAAAATGAATGCATAGCCGTTTTCAACTCAGTGGCTTCTTTTCAAGTAAATGCTTAGAGCAACAGTTTTTTTTATTTTATAATTTTAGGCATAAATTTGCATATTTTTCAAGAAAGATTGATATTTTAATGTTCAATTGACATCAGAAGGGGATAACCAAGATGAAAGCAAAGAAAAGGGGAAAAAGAAATAAACCCATGGTTGGAATGGCCGATTTCTCCACAAAATGCAAATCAAGAGGTTCAGGCAGCACTCTTTCGCGATGCAAAATGCTTCATCATATGTCCATATAACAAACAGCAAAAGTACCTTGGTAACAAGTGGGGATTACCTTCTGTCACCCATCTCAAATGAAGTAAAGGAAATGTCTAGGATGGAGCAAATTATAGTTATTTTTTACTTCAATTTTCACTCTAACTGCTTATTTCTAGGAGAATTCATGCTTTATTCTCCAAACAATAGGGGTTAAAGATAGGGCGGAAGGGACTCCTCACATTTTGAGGACTTCATTTATCTTAGGAGCAGGTACGTACAAGTGCAAGAGCCTCACCAGCTTGCAATTTTGTGGTGAGTCGAAGCTTTCTGTACTCCTCATAAGTAAAAGGTACATATAGGCGAGGGTGCTCTGAATCCACCAGCTCTGGTGGGGGTTCTATTGCTGCCTCTTTTGGTCCCAAGAGGAATGTGGCAATTGACACTCTAGTTGTTGCCTGCTTGCATTGTACTCGATGCGTCACGTTGCAAAACCTTCCATTGCTCCATGCCTGAGTCAGAAAAACAAGTATGAGCCAGAAAATCAAAACCATATATCCCTTAAAACAAAAGTGACAAAAGAAAGAGAGTATTAGCTTACTGCAGCCATATCTCCAAGATTGACAAGGAGGCTGCCAGGGAAGGGATCAACAGCTACAAATTCACCAGATCTGTCCATCACTTCAAGACCACCAACATTCTCATCGTCTTGTAGTATTGTTAGAAATCCAGAATCAGTGTGTATTTGTACCCCAGTGGAGCCTACATCTTCTGGGGTGAAATTGTACTTATTTATCCTAAATTGACATGGCCATTCCTTGCAGTAATCACCAACCAATCCCATACTCTCAGCTAGTTTTCCCCCTATATCCATCATCAACTCATGTATTGCTTGAGCATACTTCTCTATTGTCTCTCTGTGGCAAAACAAAAAAGCAACTAAAGGACAATCAATCAACTTGTTTCAAAGCACATTCATCTTAATGTGTTGAATCATAAAAAAAAAAATGCATCAATTGGGTTATTAACTTTTCTAGAATTATAAAGATAGATGATAGTTGTCGGTACTTACAAATCTAAATTCAACCAAGAGTTTTTCTTTAAACATAAAATTTTAAAGCTACAACAATCCTATCAAACACAAAGACAGAATATGAAAACTACTATATATAAAGGTAAGGGAAAGGAAAAAGGCCACCTTTGTGAAGGAGTGGCATCCAACTGAGAACAAAAGTTATGAACAGCTTGGGAGGAGGCCATGTCATAGAGACCCAAGGCTTCATAAAGGGGGTTTTTAGGACTTGGAGCCATGTAACCACTGCCAGCAATGACATCTTCATTGCGTTTTTTGATTTCCATGGGGAGGTCAAGCAATGATCTTACTACCCTCTTCATTTCCTGCATCAGTTCCAAAGGAATCTTGTGGTTTAATACCCTGAAACAACCCCATTCTTCACATACTTTTCTTAGTTTCTCGTACTCCCTCGGAAAATCTGAAAGATCAATTGTTGGGATACTCTGAGTTTTATCCATTTTCCACTGATCAGTTTCCTCTTCGTCTTCTCTTTCCGCTTGTTCAATTCTTCTACAATATGCAACAAAATTTTGAAGTATTTTAGTAATATGATTAGGTGTAGTAATTGACGTTTATGCTAAAATAGTGGGGTTTGACCATGTCAACAGGCGACAACTTTTGTCTTCTCCTGACAAAGTGAAGTACAAATGTAGGAAAAATTCACGACAAAAGTGGCGCATAAAAACAAACCAGGTTGATAATACAATACATACATGGACATGGTGTTTGTTTAGATCGAAAGCAACGAGAATGGAGTGAAAAATGGAAAAGATTAAAGGTGAAAGTGCATGAATCATAAATAAAATCAATTTCCAATTTCCATTATCGATTAAGCTGCAGAACTTTGAGAATACCAAGACGTGACGCAACTCCCCTTTAAAGGAAAACGTGGTGCTTTCACTTGTCTGCTTCGGCCCCCATTGCCCATGCCTCCACTGTCATTGCATATTAAGTCTTTAATCAACTCAAGTTTGCTTGGACCGGCTGCAGCCTAGAGGTGTTACCCAAAGGTGGCAAAATGGGCCGCTATCGATGACGGATGACACGGCAATGCCCACCATTATTTTTTTAAAAGAAACAATGATTTATGATACATGTTAATTATCATTCGTAATTATAAAATTTATTACTTTTTGAGTGCCTGTAAAATTTATTTATTTTTAGTATAATTTTGACTCAAATCATGTAAATTATATGTATAATTTTTTAATTTTTTATAATTATGAAACTAAAATAATTAATTCATAAAAAAAAACAAATAAGGGAAATACACAAAAATATATATATAAATATATATATATATATATATATATATATATATTGGATCAAGCTAAACATTAACCGACCAAACTCATCTCAATACGTGTCGAGTAAAGCACGACAAACCCATAATTTATTCAAACCACATATCGTGTTAGGTTTAACCCTATTCTAAGCGTATTGGATTCACCCAATCTGCTCATTTTGCCTCTCCTAGAATAGTTCAAGTAGTTCATATTATAAATTATAAAAAATATAAATACAATAAATAATAATTATTAAAATTGAGCACAACGTTATTCCCATTCCATCGTCTCCACTCCACCTGCACTCTTTTCTTTTCTTTTTTTTTTTTTAATTCTTTGTTGTCTATTTTACAAATTTGAGGGTTTTTTTTTTCTATTGTTCTTTTAAGTTTTACTTTGTAATATAGAAAAATAGAAAAATTTAAAATTTAAAAAAATAAAAAAGATGAAAAATATAATTTTTCTATCAATGTATTTGGTTGGAGAATAAAAAATAAAAAAAATGATGGACACTTACTCAATAATATAAAATTTATCAATATTTTTATTAAAAAATATTTATTTAGAAATATATATCAAATTTTTTTTTTCAAATTTTGTATACTATTTTCAATTTTAGTTTTTCATTCAATCATTTCTAGTAAACCACTTAATTAATTTTATTTAAAAAATTTCATTTTAATCTTTTTCATAACATTCATAATATCTAAATTTTGAACCAAATTTTATTTGATTTTTAATTTTTAAAAAATTTTAATTGCATTTCCAATTGCTTGAAATTATCTTATTTTAATCATTTTATTTATAGTCACATCTAAATTGATGATAAAAATTAGTTATTACTATGTAAATGATGCAGTTAACATCTTATGTAACTTATGAAATGATGAAAATAAAATTTCAATTAAAATTTAAAGATCAAATATGCTATTATCTCACTTTTTTTTTATAATTCAAATATATTTTATAAAAACTTTGAACAAAATGTTCAATGTGATTATAATATTAATTAAAATACATTGACAAATACTAATTAAATTATAAATAAAAACAAGAATCAAATATCTAAGTTGATGTTTCACATAAACCATGATGGCAAACATCAATCAGGGACAATAAAAAAAATGCTGAAGGACGGTAGAAGGAGACACCCAAGGCACAGCTTGAGTATTCTCCAAAAGCATAATCACACTGAAGAAACTTTGTAGGTCCTAACAAAAAACCCAGATGGCAGATAAATCAATGAGAGGAGGCTCTATCTTTCTTTCCAGCAAGAATCATAGATATATGGAGGCCTCTGCTGAATGCTTGATTAAAGAGAATTCGTGTTTGGAATTCGGACACGGATGGGAGCCATGATAAAATGGCAATGGGTGTGAAGAGCAGCAACCCCATTATGAAGTCGTATGCTCTGGCCAGCTCCTTTAATGGATCCCAGATTCGCTTATGTAAAAAGGGCCCGCAAGCTTGCCCAATCTAGGAAGAACAAGGAAAAGGAATGTGTTGGATTAGAGAATATATATGACCTTTAATTCCATGACATGAAATATCTGCTCTTGGTGTTTGTCAGCTTATAGAATGCATAATCTTGTGCTTTGTCTAGGTAAAATATTTACATCACCACAGGGATTTTGAAGTAAATACAAATAGGTTTAAAAGAGTGGGGCTTTTAGTTAACAATGTTAAAATCTTTAGTGTTGTTTGAAAGTTTAAGATATGTCCAGTATTAAAAGTGTGAAAATTTTGGCACATAGAATCACTTGGCAATTTAAAACACGAAACGACACAAAAGTCATAAGAAAAAAAAATACAAAAGTGATACCGTTTAAAATTTTAACAAAAATCATATATGGGTTTAACAAAATGTCTAAAAACAAAAAATATATTTTGTGTTTTTCATGTCGACATAAATTACGACATGTAATTTTTATATAAAATATAACACAGATACACCATTTGCCAATGTTTTACATCATGAATACAACCAGAGATAGAAAATAGACTTTTACAAGATATACAAGAAAGACATACATAATAAATTAGAGAAACTTTGGGAAACCAAATAAAAAAAAACATGGTTCTCTTTCAAAGCATCATGGCAAGTAGATCATTTTTAGTAATTACCAAAATGCTTGTTTAGTGTGAAATATATTGGGTACACTCAAAGGATCATTATGTTTCCAAAGCACTTCAAATAAGAATGCAGTTAGTTTTGAAGATGAATATCAAACATATCTAGTAAATGTTTTGTTGGATATACGATGAACTTGAGATGAAAGTTTTCCTTCATCAGATTTGGCGAAAGGAAGTAGATGGTTAATTGGATAAGAAAGATTGCAGTTAATTTTAGCTATGCTCTATTGACAGAAAATGGCTTAAAAGAAAACTCAAAAATCATAAGATTTGAAAAAACTTACAAGAATGAAAGCCCATCCGGTGGGCATGAAGGCAAGGATAGATGCAAATAAATCTGACACGGTGAGGCCACATAGTTTGAATAAGAGGATCATGATTGCCAAGAAGAAAAGGAAAAGAAGCCCTTTAAGCATTCTGAGTGGTAGCTGCAGGTCCATATGAAACATCTGCAGTCTACGTACTGATACCATCTATAGTGATGCAGAGAACATATAAACAGAACAGCAAGTCAATTTTACACCTCTGTTAATAAATTTCAGCATAAAAAAAGGTGGAGGGGAATTTCTATTTCACCTGCTTTTCTCAACCAAAGAATAAATTCAATAACTAATGAATGAATAAAAAGAACATAAATAGACCAATGTGGAATAACATGTCTAAAGTGAAGAAACGAATGTCTAATTCCTGCACACAAATTCAATTGCATATTGGAACATTGCTAACTATAACATGGAGGGAACATCTCTAAGCTACTATTAGAAAATTTTATTTTCATATTTTTAACATTCAAGCATTTCCATTAATCTAGAGGTCATAAGAGTTACTTCATAATTTCAATTTCATTTGCATACCTTTGGGATGATAAGTATTACTAAAACAGCACACCAAGAGAGTCCATAAACCTGGAAATAAAATACAGGTAATAAGCTTCTGGTGGTAAAACTAATCAGAGAGAGAGAGAGAGAAAGAACTGTAGACCTAAACGCACATTAATTTTGTAAGAAAAAACAGTATATAGTTTGCTAGCATATATACCAGCAAACTCCTGCTGTGATGGGCTATATCAAGGTGGTAGACTATTCCATACTGGTAGATGAAAAAACGAAGTGCAAGAAGAATCTCAAGCAGCCTTCCCCTTATGCTTGTGTATCTGAGATGCTCTTGTTCTTCATCCCACCATGACTCCCAACTTTTCTCAGGCTGGATACCAACACCACCATGAATTCCCATCCACCGCTTCCAATCTGTCCAATCATCCACTGTTTTTTGCCATTCAAAACCAGATGGATTAAATATAAAGGGAGAAAATAACCAAGATACAACCAGGAACCACATTGAGAAGGTGATGAACAAATAAAGACTTGAATTGCGATATGAATTCCCATAAACTTCATATATGACAAGCAGTAGACCCAGTTCCAACGCTTTCACAAAGTGACTTCGTGAGTACAGCCTATAGTTATCAGCAAACTTAGCATGTAGAACAACAAAACCACGCCCAGTAGCTCGATATTTAGAACCTCCATGCAAGATTGTTCTCCCAAAATAATGTGCTTTTGTTCCAAGCTGGAATGTAAAGAATATAGAAGCTAGCTGCAGCTGCATGATTATAAAATCACCAAAAGCAGTGCGGAACCCTTTCTCCAAGCCAATCTCCATTAACATGGGCAGTACCAATAACATTCCCATTTGAATGAAAGATTGTGTAACTAAAGCTGCTTCTAGGGTCTTGTTCTGTTTTATGCTTGGATTCTCTAGAATCTCTCTTTCCAGTCCACTCATAACCATGTACAAACGCCCATAAAGGAATATATACACAATAAGGACGGTAACCTGAATCATAATAGGGTCAAAATCACAACATGTATACCAAGTCTAAAAGAGTAGAAGCAGGAAAACTGACAAAGCAGAGGTCAAATAACAAAACCATCCATCTGGCTTAGTATTATCCAGGTGCCTGCACTTATATGCAAATAATTCCAGATCACATTAAGTTAAAACTTTAAATCATATATGTTATATGGGAGAGTGAAGCAACTTCCCAAACAACTTTCCTACCACAGAAAAACTACAGCTTCAATATTAACCACAGCTAAACATCGAAAATTTTATATATAAATATATATATATATATATATATATATACATACATATATATATATTATGTGTGTGTGTGTGTGTATACCATCTAGTCACCTAAAGTTTTATGTAGTCTAAGTTTTGATTTTTGAAGTAGCTAAATTGATATAAACATAGAAAACCTTATATATATAAGTATATATACCATGCTGTTAAAATAGAAGCCAACTGTTGTACAGTAGAATGATAGCATTCTGAAGAAGTCAAACCGACATCCAAGACGATATACATCTCGACTAAGTGTTTGTTCTCCATTTCCATTTGCAACTTTGGCCTCAAAAAGTGATATTTGATTCATCCCCACATCACGCCCCTTTCCAACTTGGATATATTCATGGTGTGTTACATACCCCCCACGAAGAGTTGAATTGAACCCTGAAGAGTTTTAAGCAATTAACCACTATATTAAATACATGATATTGTGTATATCAATCGTTGATGATTACCTGAAAATATGTCCTCGCTTAAGTTAATAGTTTTTGAAGCTTTGCTTATGCCACCCCTTGTTATGTGGAAGATTCTGTCAAATATATCAGGATGACCATAATGGAATCGCACCCTGCAAATATAATAATTTAAATAAACTACACTGGTTATGGTAGAAATGAGTCTGCTTATAGATAAAAAAGTTAAACATCTGTTTTGAATGACTACCAGTGTGTTTGAGTATTGGATTTCTATGAAAGCATAGATAGGAAATAGCCCTTTGTACCATTAAAAAGAAAAGGGAACAGCTCTTGAGAATGTATTGCTGAATGTAGAATCACTCAAAATAATCACTTGGGAGATTTTGTTTTTAAATATATGTCATATACTATAATGAAAAGAATCCTACTTATTACAAACTCTAGCTCAAATTGAGTTGGAAATACCTGGTTTGACTTGATGTATTTGCAGCCTAATCAAAGTTATGAAGGTCCATTTTACTGAATTTGTTTGTTAGATCCACTTTAATAGCATTTTGAAAGATTAATTTGAAAATTTGTGAGAGCCAATTTAGGAGGATTTATCTTATATGAAGGTTAATTAACAATATAACAAATGGCTATTTATCACTAGTATTGTGTGGTTTATTATAATAACATAAGCCACCATTTAAGTTCCTCTGGAACAAAGCTCAATTTCAATGAATATATTAATAGTATTTTATGCACAAAGTTTAACAAGCACTCAGTCAGTTATGATGATAACTTCAGGTTTACCTCAGAGGACTTGACAAAAAGCGTTGGCCTATAGTTACAAAACTGGTCTCTTGATTGGACATAAACCAAGCAAGTGAAGAAACGCTGCATAAGAGGAAAAATAATTTAGCAAAAATTATTTCAAATTATTCTGCAAATAACATTTTGCATATTGACTCTATTTATCACTACAAAGATCTGTTAAACTTATATAGAGAAGTGGTGATACTAACCTTCCTGTAAATACATGCTCCCTTAAACCTAATATTGTAGGCTTTTGCGCGCCATGGGTATGTGGGAACTCTTCCAATACATTTCTCATTTTAAAAGCCTCTTCAAAGTAATTGTCCTAAAAACAATGTGTTAAAGAAATACATATTACAAATTTAAAAAATTTGATTCCTTGAAAGACGGCAGAAAGGCAACAACCTGGTTCATGTCTATAGTCTGCAAGGCTTCTCCACGAGTAAATATAATGGCATGATTTTGATTTTCAGGTTTCCCTTCACCAATTTTTGTAGGAGGACCTGGAAGTTTTATACGGTATATTTCCTAGAAATACGTATGCAATACCAGGTTGTTGCAAGGAATTAGTAACTTAAGAAAATAGAAATAATAAGAATCTGGGAAAGACAGTTTTACCAGATTGACAATTGGAGTGTTAAGAAATGACATAAGCAATTGGAATTTCAAGTAATGCCATTAAAATCACAGTGCCAAGTAATGCCACAGTAACCTAGATACACACCTTAATATAACAACTGAAAGGGCATTCTTTTTTCAACATAATATTTGATGTGCCTACTTCTTACTTCTTGCCATCACTACTATAGAAACTGACTACAACAGATTCTAAGGGCTAGAAATAAAAATTTCACATGATGACACCAAGTCAACAATGAAACCTAACAATTTAGACAATGAATTTATTGCAGTTAGAATGTGTAGATGTCTTGTAGATTGCTTAAATCCATTTTTTCCAGAGTATGAGATAACTGTCTGATATGAGCCTTAACAGGTTTGCGTGTTACTTTTGGGATATTGCAAATGCAATATAAGACCTAGTAAGGATCAAGGAGAATGCACAGAACAATACACTTTCTTCTATTCTAAATCCAGTGGCATTTGCACTAATTTCTGGTCTTGACATATCTTTCTTTATTACGTTGCACTTTACTTTTTAGTTTCCCACTTTCCATTAGTACATATGGGAGAGAGTAAATAAAACTAGTATTTTATTAATGTGGAAATCTAATCTTCATTATTACTTGATTAGTTGACTTTATCTATTTTAGTTAAATCTCTTATTTTTAGAATAAGAAGTGATTTGGATAATTACACCAAATCCATTAGATATTTTTCTATTATGTGTAGAGAGTAAATTACTCCTTTAATTAGCTGTTTTAATGCATGAAAATCTTAGGTTTTAAGGCTGAGAATATTCAGTCTTTAGGCTATAAATTTTCATCCAATTCTAGCATTATAATAAGAAAAATATAGAAAAATAAAATAGTTTTATTCTAGAGATTTCTTCATAGTATCAAAGCATGATTTGAACCTTTGAAAAAATTTTCACTTGGAGTCCAACATGGCCAGTGCAAAGGAGAGCCTAGTGTTGGAGATTACCTTTAACCTTGGAGCTAGCGTTTCTCAATCATTGCAGAACATTACCACTCCTATTTGAACAGGTTCATTAGCACAAAAAGATAATTTTCTAAGTGCTTTAATTGTAAAACTAGAGAAATCAAATTCATGGATTGTGGATTCAAGAACTTCAGACCATATGACTAGAGATGCATTTGTATTTAGTAAATACAACCCATGTCATGAAAACTTTATAGTTTGAATTGTTGATGGGTCACTTTCAAAAGTAACCGGTACAGGTTATGTTATTATTTCTAAAGAGATAACACTTGATTCTGTTCTGTTTGTCTCAAATCTAAGTTGCAATCTACTGTCTATAAGCAAACTTACAAGAGACCTTAAGTGTGTTACTAAATTTCCTCCAAATATGAGTGAATTTCAAGATTTGGATTAGGGGAAGATGATTGGCAATGCTAAGATGTATGCAGAACTTTACATCCTAAGAGTTAATGATTCTGAAAGACAATATCAAAAGACCTCTTGTGTGGCTTCATTCTCAAGTAATAATAAAGATGGTATTATCATGTTGTGGCACTATCGATTAGGTATCCAAATTTTTTGTACTTCAAAAGATTGTTTCCCTCATTATTCAATCAAAATCCTAACAACTTTTAGTGTGAAGTCTACCAACTATCCAACCATGCTCATACCACATATCCTAATCAGCCTTACAAACCATCACATCCTTTTTTAATGATACTCAATGACATTTGGAGTTTGTTTCCCTCATTATTCAATCAAAATCCTAACAACTTTCAGTGTGAAGTCTGCCAACTATCCAACCATACTGGTACTACATATCCTAATCAGCCTTACAAGCCATCCCATTTTTTTTAATGATACTCAGTGATATTTGGGGTCCCTCCAGAGTAAATAACATTACTGGCTCCAAATGGTTTGTCACATTTATTGATGATCACACCAGGGTTACTTGGGTATTCTTAGAAATGGGCCAACTATTCCAAAACTTCAACAATATGATCCAAACTCAATTCAAAACCAAAATCCAAGTGTTGAGAACCAACAATGGAAGAGAGTACTACAATTCAATTCTTGGATCATATCTAATGAAGCATGGTATGATTCATCAAAACTCATGTGACGACACTTATCAATAGAATGATATTGCTAAAAGAAAGAATCGACATTTGTTGCAAGTTGCAAGATCCCTAATAATAGCTGCCCATGTACCTAAGCATTTTTAGGGTGAAGCTGTTCTTACTGCTATATATCTTATAAACAGAATGCCTTCTCGAGTCCTGAAATTTCAAAGCCCTTAAGAATCCTTTCTCAGTTATTATCCTCACCTTCGAATCATCTTGTCTATTCTTATTAAAGTGTTTGGATGCATTGCATTTGTTCTTACCAGCCAACATAACCAAAGCAAATTAGATCCCAAATCCATCAAATGCATATTTCTCGGATACTCCCCAAATTAAAAAGGATACAAGTGTTACTAACCAGTAACAATGAAATTTTACCATTCCATGAATGTTACCTTTTTTGAAAATCAACCTTACTTTCCTAAAACTGCCATTCAAGGGGAGAATCCAATCACACGGCAATATCAGCTTTGGGAAGATCCTATTTTCGAACCACCAAACACTTCTCAGACTCCCCTTAACACCAAAACATCAAATCAAATCCTCCAACTCCCTTTCAAGTCCAAAACATCCAACCAAATCCTCTAAGCTCGAAGTCTACACAAGGGAAAACAAACAAAGAATTGATTGTCTATTCAAGAAGACAAAAAACTCAGTAGGATATAGGAGAATGTACACCTTCAAAGCAAAACCAAGAATCTAAATCGATTCCAGATATATTTGAAACCAACACAAGTAACACTCTTACTGAATATGATTCAATTGAATCTTTTGATGAGCTTGATCAACCGATTGCTCTAAGGAAATGTGTGAGATCATGTACTCAACACCCAATCTGTAATGTGGTTTCTTATGAAGGTTTATCACCCAGTTATTAGGCTTTTGTTACCACACTAAACAATATGCAGATTCCCAATAATATTCATGAAGCACTCATGCAACCAAAATGGGAGATGGCTGTTTTTGAAAAAATCAAGGCCCTAGAAAAGAACAAAAGGATTTACTCAATCTTATGGTGTTGACTATGAGGAGACATTTGCACCGGTTGCTAAACTTAATTCAATCCGGATGTTATTATCATTGGCAACAAATCTAGATTGGCCTTTCCACAAACTAGATGTCAAAAATACATTTCTTAATGGCGACCTAGAAGAAGAAGTTTACATGGAAATCCCTCGAGGATTCAAAAACCAGGACAATTCTGGCAAAGTATGTAAGCTTCAAAAGTCTTTATATGGTCTCAAACAATCCCAATGTGCATGGTTTGATAGACTAACAAAAGTGGTAAAGAAGTATGGTTTTTCACAATGCCAGAACGATCACACCATGTTTATTAAACATTCAGCTAAAGGAAAAATAGCCATTCTTATTGTCTATGTGGATGACATTATTCTTATTAAAGATTGTGGAAGAAATTAGCAACCTAAAGAACCTCCTAGCCAAAGAATTTGAAATCAAAGATTTGGGACACCTTAAATATATTCTTGGCATGGAGGTAGCTTGCTAAAGGAATGGCATCTCTGGTTCACAACATAAGTATGTCCTAGACTCACCAAAGGAAACTGGAATGCTTAGATGCAAACTTGCCGACACCCTTATGGACACAATGAATAAGGTAGGAATGGAAGAAGGAAGTCCACTAACAGATAAGGGCAAATATCAAAGACTTGTTGGAAAACTCATCTACCTCTCTCATACAAGACTAGATATCGGTTTTTCAGTTAGCATAGTAAGCGGATTCATGAACAACTCATCCGAGGAACACTTGAGGGCTGTGTATCAAATCTTATAATACCTAAAAAAGAGTTCTGGCAAAGGGTTATCATGCCAAAATGTTGAAATTTACACTGATGCTAATTGGGTTGGATCCGATATTGACCGAAGATCAACTACTGGTTATTGTACCTATGTGTGGGGAAATTTGGTTACTTGGTGAAGCAAGAAGCAATCTGTGGTGGATAGAAGTAGCACAAAAGTTGAGTTTAGAGCCATGTTCCATGTCATATGTGAGGGAATTTGGCTAAAAAGGTTGCTACAGGAGTTAAAGATCTTTGTAAAAGAATCCATGAAGATATTCTGTGACAACAAAACTGCCATTAGTATAGCAAAGAATCCTGTTCGTCATGACATGACTAAACATGTAGAGATTGATCGTCACTTCATCAAAGAGAAGATAGAGGAAGGAATTGTTAGATTAGTTTATACTCCCACATCCCTCTAAACTGCAAACATACTTAATAAAGCTCTCTTTCTCGAAACAACTTTGAGAATCTAAAGTCCCAGCTACGCATGATTAACATCTACCACCTAGCTTGAGGGGGAGTGTGGAAATCTAATCTTCATTATTAGTTGATTAGTTGACTTTATCTATTTTAAGTACGTCTCTTATTTTTAGAATAAGAAGTGATTTGGGTAATTACACCAAATCCATTAGATATTTTCTTATTATGTGTAGAGAAGTAAATTACTCATTTGATTAGCTGTTTTAATGCATGAAAATCTTGGGTTTTAAGGCTGAGAATATTCAGTCTTTAGCCTATATATTTTCATGCAATTCTAGCATTGTAATAAGAAAAATATAGAAAAATAAAATAGTTTTATTCTGGAGATTTCTTCAATGAGGAAAGCTTAAACATATTTCCATAGCTGTAATTTATAAGTATTAATTCATATACAAAATTTATAAGCATTAACTTTGTATGCATAATTATAGAGGATCACAAACAGGAAATATATTCACTCACTCCAACAGCAATCATATTTATACAATCTTCAGAGAAACCATATTAGGCCCATGATTATTATAAATGGGTGAGGATTGCCAGATTCCAAACAGCAGAAACATTCAAAATCAAGTATTCTAAACAAAATTCCTAAAGAAAATTAATTTCATATCAAACTGGCACTTACTCTTTCACGATTATTGATTGTATCACCCTTGAGAAGAACAGAGTAATAAACTTTCTGAGTTTTTCCCTCAGTTTTTTCCTTCACAGTCTCATCTATTTCATCAATATAAGCAACACGCAGTGATGGATACCTGTAGTATTTTAAAAGTAATGGAATCAGTGGTGGGTTTACACAGAGAAATTTAGTCCTATGACTGCATTCTGCAATATAGCTTACATTAGCATGAGATTTAGAATATCCTCTTGACGAGGATCATTTGAACTTTTGAGGGCTCCATATATCTGACAAGAAACAACATAGGTGAACTTCAAATCAGGTAATGCTTTCTCTCGAATACCATCCTGCTCGTTTAAAATAGCTGCAGAGGAAGTGAGTAATAAAGTTAATAAATATATGGCACAACATTTAGCTTAACTGAAAGACATAAAATGCAACACTGGAGATGATATTTAGAATTTTCATCTTAAGTCTAAGAAAACCATAAACCATTACAATCAGCGGATTCCATGGAGCACTGAACTTCTAGAGCCTTCTTGTAGTACATCATCCCTCGCACTGGTAGAAAACACATAGGAAAAAATAGCTGTGTCAAACACCTATAACTAACTATTACAATTTAAGTTATTTAATGGCAGATTGCTAACTGATCGCCATCAACCAGACCTGATCTAGAGAGTGTCTGTCCTCTGTAACTCACCCACTTACGAATATCCTCCTCATTAGGTTTGTAATTCATACGCTCCAGGAAATTGGTCCATTCATCTAATTTGCATACATTGCTATATTAATTCATGTTTTTCCAAATAAAAAACAGTAACAGTATTGTATAAAGTACTCACCTGGATATATCATCTTCAGGTAAAATAAAATTGATACCCCATCCTCATTTTCTTTATTAAGTTCTTTATCAGAGTAAAGAACATCTTCTTTGTAATGCGGAGTCAAAACACTAACATAATAAATTGAGAGAAATAAATTTATGTTAGAGTTTCTAAAAGGAACTACTTAACAGCCATATCTTTCCCAACTACCAGCTCATGGTATCTAGAATTAACTTGTGTAGAGCTACCCTGGAAACTTCAACCAATTATGAAGCAAGAATTGTAGATTCACATTTCAATTGATCAAAGAAACTTCTAGTGGAGGCTACCACAAGTGATTTCTAATATAACAGTCTCAAAATTGCCCAGTTACTGACCTGAAGGAACGCATGTTACTGACTTTTGGTGCACGTCGCATATTCATAAATAAGGAGTTGGCAAAGAAAGTGATTCGACGACGAGCCTCTGAATTCTGAGGCACATCTGTAGCAGATTCCTTGACAGTCAAAAGCAAATGAAGCCTATTGACCTGGTGAAATTTTAGAATTTGATAAGAAAAGGATCTCTGTTTGAAATATGTGAAAATGATAAACTAAAAAAAAGGTGTTTCAGTGCCTTTTCACTCCAGAATTTGTTTTTTGCATCAATAGTATGTATCTTTTTAAATCTTTGCTTTTTTTTGTACTTCTGAGAGATTTGATCACGTTTCTGATCTCTTCTTGGAGTAGATTTATCATCAATCATAACATCAAGCATTATACTCTCCATAACATCCTGGAGGGCAATGGTTATTTGAGCCTTGAATACTTTATCATTCTCATAATCAACCATCTGTGACATAACAACTCAAGAAAGAGATGCTTAATTGCCTACCACCAAGAGTAAGTGTGGGGTTAGAAAAACGGAAGGATAAGAAAGGAAATGCAAAATAAGGTCAATTATTACCAAGATCTTTAGGAGCTGCTCCAACTTTACAGCAAGTAAGGGCATACCACTCATGTTGAAGTTTTGCAAAAAAATTTTGCTTTTTAAACTTTCAGTGACTGCATCATAGATCTCCTCTACAATCCTAGCACAGAAAAAGAAAATAGGAGAACACACAGATCATTAATTTTTACAAAACAGAGTACTGTATTCTTAACCGGCTAGATGCCATTTAGCATTATGTCTGGAAATTCAAGCAGGTGGTACAAATGCTTCTGCCTTACTTCCTGTCATCTTCATCTTCTAGAAGGCAATATATAAGATGTCTGAGCGTGTAATAACAATCTAGAATGGCTGAATTGATATATTTATCACTCCCAATAATCTTTTTTAACTCAGCATCGTCCTTCCCCTTAAACTCTTTTGCCACGTTTAATGCGGCAGGAATCTGTCACACATAGATAGTGAAAATATGTGAACAAAGACTTGGCAATTGCAGTAAATGTAATGGTAAACAAGAGAAACACTCAAGAATCTTTACCTTACTGGCTAGCAAGAAGAGTGGCCACTGAACCATAGACTCATCACTCAAAGGCGATGGTAAAAGCAGCAAATCTCTGTCCCTGGAGGGGAGAAGAAAGCAGAGTAATGTTTCAAAGTATCCATGTATGTCTGTCTTATAATATAAAATCTACAGGAAGAACCTCTAACCTATTGCTAATCAGATCCTCCATTCGCATGGAATTTATGAACTCATTCCACATCCGAGAAAACTTTTTCATGTTCTTTGGTTCTTTTGAAGTACGCTGGGAAATTAATACTATTTATGTTTAGCCCAAAGAAAAAGATAAGGTTGAAAGTCATCTCTACATAAATTGATGAAAAGCACGCCACACATCATCTAAATTTTCTTTAAATGTTGAATAAAGTACTAGAACTCCAAAATTTTAAGATTCATTGTGCAGACAAGCTAGAATAGCACTACCCAGTCTTTTGTCTTTGCATCGGAGCCTGATGGTGACACAAAACAGCGGTCAAAAGCTGAAGGCATAGAATCAAATCTGGACTGCAACATCCCAATCGTTCGAATCTGAGGAATGATTGGAAGAAAGGATGAAACAAACTTCAGTTTCTTTGACATAAATCAAAACAGGTTTCCATGACAGGGTGTGAATGAAGTGTCCTCATACCTCACCCAAGTGTCTGAAGGCTCCTAGAACGCCACCTAATAGAGTAGAAAACATGGTGTACCATATTTGAACATCCATGAAATAAACCTACCACAGAAGTGCTACCTTAGATAATGGTACAAGTTACAGGGTAGACGTAAGAATCTAGACTATGGTATAAAATTTGTCACACCAAAGTTCTCAAAAGCTTACTTACTAGGACAATTGGAGCCCATATTGCAATAATGACTCCCATATTGTGCTTTACTATATAAGTTAGAGGATATGAATTAGTGTGGGTGGAAGTAAAAATTAAAAGATTTTGATGCCATCACAACGTGAAAACAAAATATAATAAGGAAGAGTAATATATTACCAATTGGAAAAAACTTATGCAACAGGTACTCAGCAACATCTATCTTCATAATTACCTTCGTTGGTTGAACAAGTGGCAGTATCTATTGACACAAGAAGTGAAAAAGTTGTCAGCAACTATCAGAGTTTTACAAATGCTTGAAGAAAACAACCCATTTAAATAATTTGATGGAAATGTTTGCAAGATAAATAATTTGCAATTTAGAGCCAATGAATATGTTCTCACTGGTTGGCACATATGGTTACCATAGAAATTAGCAATGTAGTTCTGGTCATGCAAAAACTAAAGAAAGTTTGAGAAATTGTCTTCAACTCCAATAATTACCATCATATTTAACAACTTTATTCTTTGGTACATCAAGTCAGATAAGAAGATACTTTAACACATAAATTGAAACTGAGGGATAAAACATTACGAAAGTAGCCAAAAAGTTTCAGCAAGAAATGGTCAAACCAAGGCTGTTAAAACCCTCAGAATTGGTCTCACTGTACAGCAGTTGGTTCTCAAGAGTGACTCATATCTTGGAACCAAAAATGACTTGGAACAGACCTGATAAATCTCTTTGTCATCAAGTAACCTGATAAGGGCACATGGTATCACATTTTCCTGAGTCTTTACTCTATTGTCTACAGTCAATGGGAACACCTTTACAGAAAAAGTTATGCAGCATTTTCTGGTAATGATTCCATTTTTAAAACTGAAAATACAGAACAAATAACAAAAAAGAAATGAAGAAATCACCACTCCATTCAGATTTCAAGCATTATATGACTAGGTGCAATTGGCAGGACTCATTCATGCAAGATTTACCACTATACAAAGCATTATTCTGGTGAAGATTAGCTGAATCAAATTAAAACTTTTTTTGATGTAATTTTAAATCCAAATGGATAAGAATTTTTATCTCTAAATATGTTGCATGGGCACTTTAAAGTGTGAAGTAGCAATATAAGACAAACCACAATATACCGCTTCCTACAGTGAGAGATGTATGTATGTGTCCATTGAAGCAAATGAACCATTAATTTTAAGAAATTGAATATTGAGTATTCTGACTATGAAAAGATAAGCATTAAAATAAAGGATAAATCACCTCAACATAGTAACTGAATGCTAGCTTGACACTTAGCACCAATATCCAAAATATTGTATATCTGAGAGTAAAGAAATGCCATTCACTTAATCCATGATGTTAAAATCTTAGCACAATGGGAATAGCTTAAAACATGACTAGGGAAAAAAAGCCCAATGAAAAATTTTTTTTCTCTTACTTTAGAATTGAAAAGATTCCCACATGCATGCCTCTTCCAACATAAAGTTTTGGCTGCAGCAAAGAAAATACTATATAGATAACTTGAATAATTAAATTCAGAAAATAACCAATGAATATGAGGGAAAACGACTAATGATGCCCGCACAGAAGAAAACAAGAAAGAATAATAATAATGATAAAAAGAAATAATGCTAGATATACTTACCTGAGCCCACCACATAACAATATTAATTATTGGCCGATTTGATAGCTCCATTTTTTCCCTCAACGGTGGAAGCAAGAATAGTATAATAGCCAGTACATCAGGTATCAAATAAAGTACAACAAGATAATTATACAATGACTGATTATATGAATCCCCGGCCCAGCGGCTAAAGAACTTCATCAGTCCTGTCGGATTCTTCACAGAAGTGGAATATCCTACCAGCAAAACTACTACCCAGATAGATGCCGCAGCCAATCTCAGAATATAGCGCAATAGTTGCATAAGTTCAGAGCTCCTCCAAGCATGGATGCTGAGAATTATGTCCAGAATAGCTGCATAAATTTTTCATGGCAAAGATGAAAAATATTTAAATTCACTCTATCAATGCTAAATAGCATGCAATTAAAATTGAGTATATCTGACACTTGAATCTGTAATTGAATTCCTATATTAAGACATAAAGCTATAGCCACAAAAGAGTAGAAACATTTTCCATAATATGGTTGTCAATTTGACAACTATGAGATTGCTTTCACAAGAAGAGAATATTAATAAAAAGCACCAGTAGTACCTTGCAAGAAACTAAGAATAGCATAAGTAATGAAAATGCTCAATACTCTTCTTAAGACATCTTCATTGTTAGCAACACTAGATCCAGAATGCGCCCATGCAACAATTATCATAGCCTGAAAAAAAAAAAGCATCTATGGCATTAATTTCTGGGTCAAATACTAAAGCACTAGGTTAAAAGGTAAGGTCACCTGCAAAGCCATTATGAAGAATATCCACATTCGGTTGAAACTTCTATAAAGCTGCCAAAATGTGCGGACTTCAACAAAATTAATTTTTGGCTTCCTCCTTCCAACAATGCATCGGTTTCCAAAAATAAATTGGTTCAGAATCTGCATGGAATATATGAGCATGAACTCAAGTCATAGATAAAAGAACCAAACTAAAAGAGCCAATAGAGCTCAATATATCAATAAAGGAATTGTTTTGCCTCATTAAGAGGAAGGCTGAATCATATGCCTCACAAGTGACAAATTAACGTTGTTTAGAAATTTAAAAAACTGCAAAGTTTATATTTGTAGCATTGACAAACATAAGTAATTTAGTACATTCATTTCACATGAAACCTTATCAACTGCTAAGGAAAATATTTATGATGTTCTCCTCGCATTCATCTTCATAGATGTACAAAGACACTAGCCCTAGATTACAAGAAAAACTTTAGCTTTTGTTTCCTTTTCAATCACTCAAGCCAAAATTGCTCAAAACCAATAAGTTACACTCTCTTATTTTAGTTCTTTTAATTTGCAATGCAAAACTTAAATTAACTCATTATGTGTTCCATATGTAGTTTCTCTGACATTGTTACATTATTTAAGTTTCAAAATTTTGAGAAAAAAAAAAAAACTGTCAGATGGCTTAAATATACACTCTGTTATAAGAGACAAGCATTGCCCGCACACCGGTAATAATGAAGTTTCAGTAATTCGGGGACGATGAATCAACTAGAGGGGGACAGTACTCCATGCAGATAGGCTACAAAAATTCCTAAGAAGGCTTATGTTGAACAGTGATGCCATATATTATAAAGCATAACATAATCATTCATATTTTCTTTGAGATGTTATTAATGTTGGAACTGTTTATTATGCTGTTTTATGTTTGTTCTCAATGATACTTGCTTTTTCATGGTCAATGATTTATTTACTCTCATTAGTTAAAGCAAAGAATATGCCTTGTGGGTTAGATGTTTGTTTTTATCCTTTGATGAGAAAGGTAAAAATTTTGTTAGTGTTGGCTATTACATGGTGTATTATATTCATATATTGTAAGGATGGTAAATCATTGTTTTTGACTTTCTTTTTTCCAACCATTTTCTTGGTTTCCAATAAAATCTTATTGCTCTAACCAAAAAAAAAAAAAACAAATCATAAGCCTTCAAATATTCCATAATGCCATAATACAGATTGTGTCTATCCATCCCTCCTCCAAAAGAAATGAATATGGAGTACGCTTTCTGAACCTAAGGTCTACTGTAAACTTATACCATGTATTTGTTTTATATGCTTTATAAGTGATTCATTGAACGGTGAAACCATATAACTATGAATATTTCTTTTAGGAGATGTTAAATACACTTGGCATATACATATAGATAAAATAACTATATACTTTGGGCTAAAATTTTAGATGACACAGAAGGTTACCTTATCTGCAGGTGGCAATGGCATCCCTTCTTTTTGCTTATGTAGCTCAGAAGAACACTTTTTAGACCTAGACAAAGGCATATTTACACATCAAATATATATTTGACTAGTGTAAAGTAAAAAAGTATCAATAATCAGAAAGCTTACCAAAAGCACTCATTTAGATCATCATAGTTGCTCCATAGAGAATGGCTTGCTTTGCCTCCTTTATTTTTTTCAGCTTCCTTTCTCACCAAATAATAACAAAATTTTAGGTAGGAAGTTTCAAATAGATAGGAACAAAACAATGTGTGTAATGCAATAAAATCAATATTACCTCAAGTAGGATCTGGTAAATAGGTTTTATAACAGTACTTAAAAAACTGTCAGCTGGTTTTTGGATTGTGTCAGTGCTAGATAAAACTTGATGAACATCATTTGCCATCTTGTATGATCATGAAACAGGGAAAAGAACTGAAGGTTACATTTAGAAGGGAGAAAACAAGAAGAAAAAAAATAGGGGGTGGAAGACATAACATTGAAGATGAACAAAATCAATCAACTGATGAATGTGAAATCCAGGATGCATGCTTACATTACATAACTTACATAATCTTCTGAGACTCAATTACCAACTTCTCAACAAAATAATTTAGAATCACTATCCACAAGGCAAAAGTGCAAGTACATTAATATTCTCCAGAAATGACCAACATAACATGATCAAATTTTTATGTGCAGTAACGTATTTATTATGATGATCAAGCAAATGCAGAAATTTTAAGAATTATTTTCTGAATGAAGGGTAGAATTTTAAGAATTATTTCCTCAATGAAGGGTAGAATTTCCATTATCCACTTAAAGCAAAAGCTGCGGGAGAGTGCAAATGTCTGATAAGAGCAATCTCTCAAAATCTTACTTGTCTGATTTATGCCCATTATAGTCTCTTATTCTACGTGAGATGTATGCACATGCATGCAGTTAAATGGAATCACAGCTAAGTTGGATATGTTGACTAATGACAGGAACGTCAATAATCATGGGCTTCTACCTTTTTTTTTCCCTATATTTATCTAACATATAAATGACAAAGTTTGAATCCATAACTAAGGGCCTTTCTCCCTATGTAATAATAATTCATGAAATTTGCACCAGACAGTTGTGAATACATGCTATGGCCATAGGCTGTAGATATAGCATGACTCCCATTGTCATAAAATTTGAAGCGACTGAAATTATCACTGCAACTGTACAAGAACTATTACCGATGACTCGGATCTATATGATATAAAAATTCTTGACGGTAATTATAGACACTAGCTATTGCCTCAATAACATGGAAAATGTTGAACAGATACTAGCACCAGCTGCAATTAAAGAATTTCTAACTCATTGAGAGTGATTCATTGAAATTAAAGAAACATACTTTATGGAAGATGTAACAAATGCATTCAGGCATGAATCTAATATTTGAAGCTTCACCCCATATGAGAAGATAGAGTGCAATGTAGATGAGATGTAGCTGTTGCTTTTGCTTTGCTTCTGTATACCTTTCATGATTCCTTCATAGCAGAAAGTTCATTAAGGGAGACGAAAAAAAAAAAAGAAATCCAGTGTGATCAATATGCAATATGGGGTCTAATACTGCTTTAAATTTTTAATAAATGCCTAAAAATTTTTTTTTGTTAATAATCTAAAATGACAAGATACATTACCTTATATGTGATTGAAGATGCATATATTTACACCATAATTCATAATTGTTGAAAAAATCATTTTTCAATCGCTCTATGCTCTTTGTAGTTGCTGCAATCTATAACAAACGCTTAATCAATCTTCAATACATGATGGTATTAAGATGAAAATCAACGCCGAAATTAAATCAAACTAAACAAAGTTATGAGATTTGAAAGGAAAGAATGATGGAACTTTATGCACCTCATCATTATCTCTGAGATTCTTCCTCCTTGTATAAATATTGGCCAGTAGCAATATTAAGTGCTCCCTCTGATTTGCTGCATTCGCTTTCTTCAATATCCCAAAAGTTATGAGAAAAGTCATGTAAGCATAATGAATCAAAGAATCATTATGCACAATCAAGCCCTGTGCCCCAACCCCTCTCCTCTCCCCCCCCCCCCCCCCCCCAAAAAAAAAAAAAGGCCTCCCTCACTAAAAAAGTTTCTGTTCTCCTAGAAATTTGATCTTGCGTAACTCAACTTGAATTCTTTATATAAAGTATAAATAAAAGGTAATGACATTGATAATGCCATTTAAAATATAGATATATACACTGAACCCAAGAGCTATTTCAGTGGTTAGAACTTGAGATTCCAACTTGGAGTTCTCGAATCCCGCCACGAAAATAATGGGTTTTGGTGATATGGTAGGGACGCCTCTCATTGTGTAGTTCGAGACCAATGATCTCATTACATACCAATATATATACACACATTATCAGTGTTACTAAATAGGCTACACAGCTGGAAAGATGAAGCAAATGAAATGTAACCAAAAAAAAGGAGAAAAAGAAATGGAGGGAATACCTGAAATCCAAAAAGAGAAGAAAGCCAATTAAAAATGCCTTTTTCAACAACACCTTCAATGATTGGAAGATTCTCCATTTGACTAACAGCTTCAACAGCAACCTTAATCTATAGAACCACAAGGGGTAAGATTAAAAATGTTCAAAAATCAAAGGTATTAACGATAAGCAGAAAAGAACCAGAACCTCAGGAAGCTTCATAATTGGTGAATCATCAAATGGAAGAATGTTATAATCTTCATTCTTCGGTTCCTTAGACCAGATCAACCTCGCAAACGGCGGCAGCGGAGGCGGCGGCGGCGGCTGCCTCTTCGTGCCGCTGGTACTGGCCATGGTTGTAGAGCGCAATGAAGAGTGATGATGATCAAGATCATTGTGGTATACTGATATATATGAATTGAAGAGAATTTTGGAGAGTATGGTTCGGGGTTTGGTTTGTTTGCTTTAGTATTGAGAGATTCTTGAATGAGCAAATCAGAGAAGAAAATGCCTTGAAGAAGGCTTTGCCTTTTCCATTTGTTCTTCTTGTCTTTGATGCTTTAGGATTTGGATTTGGAATTTGAATCGGAAGGAGAAGGATAACAACTCCTTTTTCTGTTTTCTTCCCACTAAAATTCGTTGGTGGGGACTGGGGAAACTTCTTCGAGGGTTAAAGGCTGACAATTGTAAAGGAAGATGAACAAATAAATAATATAATAATAAATCTTTCAACAAATAATAATATAATAGTAATAATAATTGTTAAATAAAGAGAAAGGAAGATACCTTAATTTTCATTTTCTTTTTTTTTTTTTAAAGTGGATTTTGATATAGATAAAATAATACAGTAATAGAAATTAGAAGAGCTTTTGTTTTATCAATTATCCATATAAAAATAGGAGACATTTTTATTCAAATGTTTTTAAATCACTAAATGTGTTCCAATAAACACAAAAAAAAGTTATATTATAATTTTTTGACAAATCTTTTAGCAAAATTTTTGGAGGAAATTGTATTTCTTAATAGAGAATAATTTTTTTAACTCTTATTTATTTAATTAGAAGTGTTTTTCAACAAATAATTTATTTCATATGATTTTAAATTTTACAAAATACCAAAACTGCTTATATTTTCACAAATCCAAATATTTTCCAAAATCTCCCGTCAACAAAAAAATAATCTTGCAGCTAAGTTTAATTTATAATATAGATAAACAATTTCGTTTAATAACTAAAAATTTCTTGATCCAATGATTAAATAAATTGTTATTAGATTTAATAATTTGTATATTTATATTATATAAAATATAAAAATTTATATATTTATATTATATTTTATATAAAAATTATATATCACAATTAACATAAAAATATAAAAATATATATTTTTTATTATGTTAAACTTATACATAATTACTATTAAAATTTTAAATCATATTTTTTTATTTTTATTTTTTATATTATATTCATATCGTGTTTTATGTCGTATATTTCCATATCTAATTGTAGCATGTTGTGAAGTTCTGAAGTTCTGGAGTCCAAACAACCCGAATCCTCATCCCTAGTATTAAAAAAAAAAACTCACACCATATTGAAAGACGTTCAAAATGAAATCTCAAATTGCTTAGGTGCTCACTTGGAGACTCTTCCTAAATCAGAATGAACATCTAAATGATCTTCCTATGATCTGCAAACACCAAAATTTCATTTTCTTTTCTGAATATAATTCTTCTGTCTTCTATAAAACACTTAAATACTATTCCTTAATCACAAATCACAATCAAGTCTTTACCTTTTGGTTTTATTATCTCAAATCCCTTCCCTTTGTCGTACTTTCTTGACACCAAAAACCAAAATAGAATCAAATCAAATATTTCTTGCTTAATTGTCTCAAACAAGATCTTGAAAGATCTGTTAATGCATTGACAGCCAAAAACTCAAATAAATTGTTGAAGCATATGTTTAACTGCTTCTAACAAAACCTCAGGATGTATTAAAAATATAATGTTCAAGAATCAGAGCTCCTACAAGGAAAAGCAAATCTATTTTATCACTATAACAGTCCTGTAGCATCTATATACATTCATCTGATGTCAAAACTGTCGATGTTAACCATCAGCGTCATTTGAATTTTAATGCACCAATTAGTTCTGCCAGTCACGAGTGCTGCATAGCAACATTCCATCAAAATTCCCACTTGGAGCCAGCAGAGAAAACATGTGATCTATTTACATGCTTAAATTGGACTTGCTCTCGACACCTGCAATTTAAAGCAAAACCCCATTTTTTGTTTCTCACCCATCATGTAACATCAAGAAAAACAAAAGCAGAAAAGGCATATGAAAGTAACAATCATCATATAGCAGATAAATGCAAAGCTTGCTGCTACATGTTTATACCAGTTTCTACCAAATGTGGGGAAAGATGTCTATACTGGATTGATCAGAAGCTCAATAGTAATCTCATAGTTCCGGTAGCTTATTATCAAATTCAAATATTTGAAATTTTATGATAATCTCGGACCAGTACTTTTAGGCAATGAAATTAACCAAGCGAGCGTCAAAGTCTAAACCACTGTATATATATATATATATATTGTACAAAAGAGGCTGCAGCCAGAAAATAAGGGAATGAATTGTAAATGCTGATATTTGAATCCAAGATCTACTAGATGCCGCCTCTTAAAATTGGCTACATGAGTCAACTGGATGCCACCATATTAAGTAGTAGGATATTAGCACCAAGTGAGTTTAAATATAGATATTAGCACCATATTAAGTAGTAGGATATTAGCACCGTATCATGCCTACTCTTCCTTCCCATATGGTAAACTGGTAAATAGTCCAGAGTTAGAAAATGCAATTTGAGGCAACTCCTCCAAGAATAATGCTACTAAGTAGTAAGTAAAGGTTTGAAGAGCAGGTTCAAGCTGGATGTCACGGTCCACGCGTTCCTTATTCTGAAACCACACATCCATGCGGCACCAAGACTACTCATAGTCGAGGTCAGCCTTCCGTGAGTCCATTTTTCCTTGGACAGCTCAATTTCAATCCTTCAAGCCGAATACATAGGAGCCTTTTCTTTGGCTTTGACCCTGTAGGGTTACTCATTCTGAACTCTATAGGGAGGAACCCAACTCCCGTCACTCATCAGCCCACGATTCTCAAAGTGGGCCCGAGCACCCATCTCTGTCCGCAGGGCTTAAGGTCTCAAGCACCGACTCTCGAATATCCGTGGGGACGCAGCCCCGTTTCTTATGATATTATTACTTCTTGACATGGTGAGAACCCAACACCATGCCCACCCGTATCGTACACGAACTCTCGTATCAAGTTTACGCAAGCACAACACTTATGCTAGTCAGCAGCCAACTCGGAGCCTCTAGGCTCATCTCATCCCATGGGACTCAATTCTTAGGGCTTAGGCCCTTAGCTTCAATGTAAACTGCCCGCATGCATGATTGACACCCAACATCATGCTAGTCCCGCGAAGGGGACTTGGGTGGGCAGCCCCAGCTGCAGCACCACCTCTACCGATTGGGTCTAGCAACGTGCCTGCCTGCTAGCTCGCACATCCCTCAGGCTCGATGGCGTCCCTCCTACACAAACACCATCTCATGATCTTTCTGGCTTAGGGAGGGGAAACCGAGGGCATAGCGAACTCTGCCGCGTAACCCCATGGCTCAACACAAAGGCGCCATATGAGGCCCGCCGGCCCCAACCGTCCCCGGGTTTACCATGACCCGAGGAAACATTGTGCCACATTGGTGACCCTCCGATGCCCGCCCACCTAGACACCACTAGTGCCTAGGAGTAGCTCACTTCAAACTAACCAGGCCCCTGCCTACCCGTTAGCCAAAGGGGTGGTGGATAGCTGAAACCAGTCATCCTCCTATAAAGAGCGTAAGAGATTTTCCTAGTCTCCTACAGTAACCATAAAATTGTTTGAAATTGGGACACTTTTCTCTCCAGCCATCTTAGGGCCTTTCTCCGGCTAACTCCGGGTCCCATAACCTTCCTCTTGGTCACCATTATTCCTTGATTCTACTCGTTGCTCTACCAACCCACTCGAAGGTGCCCGCACATGGCTTCGACCGACAGTACCTGACTGGCTAGCTGGTCCCAGGGCACCGGCGCATTGCCTCACACTTACCTGCATATCTTGGGATTTAGGGCTCAGACTATCCATGCACAATATCCCCAACATATTCCCATGCTCAGAATGCTCGCACGCTGCTTCCACTGATGGCCCCCCGCTAGAGTACTTGGCTCGAGGGTGCTTAACCATTGTCCCGAACTTACCCGCGTATCTTGCGGTCTAGAGCTCCCACTGCCCGCACAACATATTAGTAACGTGTTCCAATGCTCCAAATGCACGCCCGCATCTCTTGGAACCACTTTCCCGCCAGCTAGGTCTCGATGGATGCTCAGCTCAGGGTCAGTCATGGCAGGACCAAGGCACACCAAGGCCTGACCATGACACTAGACTAGCTGGAGATAAAGGAAACTTTTGAGCTCCAATACACTAGGGCTACTAAACAACCATAGCAGCAATGCTATAAGGTGGAGAACAGATAAATGGTATCTCCTAAACTTTAAAGCATGACAAAAGCCAATTGGCTGAATATAAACTTAATATCTTGGACTTGTTTCTGGCCAAAGAGACGGTACACATTAGAGCTGTCATTTCAACCATACTTATGCAATCAGGCATACATTGTTCCTCCTTCTAAAGTTCTCAGCAATTAAGTTCTCTTGAAAATTCAACATAGCTTAAGTTTTTTGCTAGCATATTATGCGGTTAGGGCAAATGCCAATAGATTTAGATACCTGATTTTTTGAACTTGTAGCAGTAGCCCCGTATTGAGGATGATGCATTCCTGCTGCTCCATAACTGATAAAAGTTATTGCTCTAGGCTGCACTTGCCTATTAGTTGTAGATGGGGCTGGCAGCTCTCTCATGAACCATAATACAAAAGCGAAGGGGACTGATGAACCTGTCAATAGACCTCAAAAATTAACTTAATACATTTGAAAGAAACGTATCTCCTTAAAAAGATGCAAAAAATATAAGAAGGAAATAAAATTTTGCACCTCAGTAATAGAAAACATAACTCCATATTTTAGGGACGGAGTGGGGATAGGGAAGGGGAGATAACATTTTATGATTCAAAATGAAAAGTGATTTGAACAGTTTAAAGTGATTATTATAGTATTCATTAAATAATTAATTCAAAATGTAAAAAATTTAGTACATAAATTATATTTAGTTCACTTAAAGCAAAGAGACACAACCACAAAGAATAAATTTTTTTATTCGTCTGCGTAATTATATGAGATACTCGTTTGACACCTGATAAAGGGAAGCTTGGAGAATTTTTAAAGCAAGTTATCATAACAATAGGGTTAAATCATTTGACACCTGATTTAGCTTTAAAATATATTTAGGTGAATAAAACTGCAGAGTCCAGACTGAAGCCTAAAATGATGAAGGACAAAAAATCACGATCAAGACCATATTATAACCCCGTCTTCAAAAGATTGAAGGAATACCTATCACATAGTGCAAAATGAGAAGAACCAGTGCTTTTACACCATTTATCTTCTTGAGATTCCAATGATGAAAAAGCTGCCAACAGAAGGGAAAAAAGTAACCCCGTAAGAAAGAACCCATGCTTAGTTCAGGAAAACAACAAAAACATCTTAACAACATGGAAAGGTCTTAAGTTATCAAGTACTTACAGGAATATCTGTAAGAAGAGCTATCAAAGAACTTGATATGAAACACAAGACGGAGACAACTGCTAAACCAACCACCTGCAAAATATGACAAACTTCTAAAACTTTTTGAAATTATTTAACACAAAGTTTTCAATAATGTGCTTTTAGCATATCTAAGCATTAAGAAATCAAGACAATGTTTCACCCCAGAAAAATAGATACAAAACCAATGTGCTACATAAAGAATTGGTAGCAAGTGCAAACCTTCCACATTTCTGATGAAGCTTTCTCAGACCGTACTCTCCTCAATTTAGAAAATAGAAGGAAACCTGAAAAACAATTAAAGAAAAAAGTTCAAGAAAGAGTCAACCTAAATAGGTGAACACACATAGTTAAAACCCCACCAAACAAATCAAAAGAAGTAACATAAAGAATTGTTTTACAATTTTGATGCAACAATTGAAACCTTGACTCATTATTCTTTGTTAGGTAATCCATTTATCAATTTATGCTTTATGTTATGAATTTCAGATTTTTCTTTTCAGGAGAACAATTGCCGTTCCTGCAATTCAATGTGACTTGACTAGGGTACATTATATTCCCTTGTCAAGTTTGATTATTACAGGAGTTTTTATGAGTTCTGTTATATTTTCTTGGTGTTTGTTATATTCTTGCTTTTTAGATTGTTTCTAATAAAGAATCATAGTTCTGATGGGTTAATATCATAAAAGCTTTTTCCAAATATCGATATAACTTTCATATTGCAGTACGCTTATGCTTGATGAGATTTTTTAGTATTTCAGTCATTTGAGGTATGGATGCAAGGGAATAATTTCCGCACTCTTTCTCTTTTATGCCTGTTTTCTTCTTCCTCTTTTTTTTTTTTTTTGTTTTTATTTTTTCTGCATCCACATTAAATCATCTTCATAGTGCTGAAAGAAACCTCAAACCTTTTGGATTTTTTAAGTCTTCTTATTCAATTCTAAACACTATCTATTCTATTGACTCCTTCAATCACCCTCAATCCACATACTTTCATCCTTTCCACCAAACTCCACTCCAGCCACAGCTAGAAACTCCAGTAACCCTAGCTTCAAGCTACTCCTTCCCTCTTAAATCACCCCTAATCTTGCATCTATCCATAGCCATAAACCCAAAGTTTTCTACCAATTCATTTACCCTAAGCCTCCATAAACTTTATATTTACCCTAAGCCTCCAACTTTGTCACATGTAAAGTTTGCTTCCTCCAATAGAAACATGCAAAGCATCGTTGCAACCCATGCATATAGTGTTGGGAATATTGACTCAAATCCCAAAAATTTTTATAAGAGATTTGTTTGAGATTTTTTCAGAATTGGCTAGATATTGCTTATGGACAAGAAGACTTGGAAAGCAAGAATTCTAAGAATAAAGGGATTAGGCTTATAAATAGTGAGTCTTAATAGGATTATGTATAAGAGAAAGATGTAATGAGGGTTGTAGAATTTTAAGAGATTGTGTGTGCAGACACCCTATGAAACTGGAGAGTGAGTTCTCAAGAATGTAAATGTTTGGTTTGGGTTTGATACATGACCAAGCAAGAGAGCTCATAGATTGGACTAAAATTGATTTGTATTTGTTGAGTGTTTGTTTAGGTTTGGGGTTGATTTGCTTATATATTTGTAATTCTCTACAACTAGTAGATCTTTTTTCTCATATGTGGATGTAGGTAAGTTGAGTGCTAAACTATGTTAAATTGTTGTATCTTATATAATTGATCTTTTGTTCAATTTCACTTTCGCTTGCTTATATGTTTAATTGAGGGCTTTGGCCTATATGAAATATAAGACACATACATAGCAGCGGAAACATGGGTCCCAAAACAACTCTACCTTTGGGTAGTGCAAGCTTAAACAAGTCCTTTTTTGTGGTGATGAAACATTTTTTTAATTGCATTTCATATTGAGAGTTAAAACCCAAACCAAAACAAAGTTAAGCAATTTATATTTTTAAGGATGTTGTAGGATGAACTCAAAAGTTATTTTACAGCTTTGACCCCCCCTCCCCACACCTCTTAAACATGACTTGGGACACTCAGAATCACCAAAGGAGAAAAATAAAGCATAATAAAATAAAAAATATTCACATTGATACCTTTTAGGTATGTCTTTATACTGAAGCATGCATGTGTTTCTTTGTTATATTAGACTCTTGGCCATTACTTACTCGTGTATTATCTATATGGCTATTTTTTTTGCCCAATCTCTAATATGACTTTATTAGTGAATTAAAACTATTATTGAAACCTCATCTAGTACTTATAATTTTAGGTTTACCAGTTCATGACCACGTACTGGTCTCAAAGTTTCTTTGACAAGAAGTCTAGAGTTCGAAAGGTAGTCGCCTATATTCTATTAAAGACTAAATTTCAACAGAAGGCATGTGGTGGCCCTGTACTTTGTCCATGCTTTTAGCCCAATGGACTTGCACTTGAGAGGGCATATTAGTAAATAAAAACTTTTCTTGAACCCTTACCTAATAGCTTAAACTTTTAGGTTGACTAGTTCTTGATAAACTTCAAGACTAAAAACTATTAATATTTATGCAAACTAGAAGTAAATTTCAATTTCTGAAAATATTTTAATTAGCATTGAACAGTATATTTAAGCTCTTGATCTAGAAATTATATTCATGCATTCGGTTTGGATAAGTTCAATATTTAAGAACTCATGGCTCTAAGAATTCTGAAGACTCATAGTCATTGCCAAGAATAGTTATTTAAAATAGGTACACTATATTCCATCTTATTCTACTAGAATGACTCAAAGGTAAAAGTTCTCAAAAACATTATGTAGCTTATGCACTATTTCCCATATCCAAGGGGGAAAGATAACAAAAGCAGAAAAGCTTGACACCAGGCATAACATTAACAAAATAACAAAAGAAGTCATTTCTCACCATAGCAACCGAAAGCTCCACCTATTATAAGTACTGTTGTGGCAGAAAAATCTATATATACCTGCACAAGAATTGCAGTTATGAACCGATAACTACTAGTCACACTGAAAATATAAAAATGTTTCTTTTCCTGAATATAGAATTTAATTATGATGAATCATAATAATTAGATCTTTCTACATTCACAATTTCAGTCTTGAGAGAACACCATTTGCTAACTGAAAGCATCAAGTTAAATGCACACATTAAAAAAAGGTTAAAATTGGATATCTAGGTTGACATCTATTAGCATATGGAAGATCCAATAAAGATAATCCAATATACAAATTGAAGGAACCATAAATACTTCTCCCAAGAAACAGCAAGTTAAGGTGTCAGTTATAACTTGGAAGTTAACAGTATAGCCCTTTAAATAAGCTTAACCTGAATTGATGCCGGTTGGCTCAACCACAGCTGGAAAGAGTTGCAACAAGGTGATTCACAGACAAGCATTGGGTAACGCATCATGACAATTTACAATTATATTACCCATATTGAATTAGAAAATACTTTTGAAAAGAAAAAAAAAACCACTAAAAACACAATAAACATTTTGAAGACAGCCGGTCAATCAAATTTAGTAAAATATAGCATAAGATACCACATGGCTTGTCAAACAAACTATTGTAGCAATAAGAGCTGAATGCTAAAATCCACTAGGAAACCTTTTTATCATAATGTTGCATTTTGATAACCTTCTGAAATAAAATAATAATATGAGGTTTCTTCCATTTCATTAAAGATTTAAGACCTTATTGTTTGGTCAAACATCAAAATCTAGCAAGACATTAAGTTGTACAGTAAACAACTTCCAAAAAAATCAAATGTAAAGGACTTAATATGAAAAAATATCAAGGGATATTTTAATGTTATAATCACCATATCAGAGTTAGTGAGTAATATGATCCATACCCGAGCAATTACTAAAGAATCACTAGGATTCTTCCCTGCACTAGTCCAGATTATTGCAGCCAAGGAGATCATTAAGATGAAATTTAGCATAATGACCTAGTGGAAGAAGGAAAAGAAAAATAAAATAAATCCATTGATGATAAAATTGCATCTTAAATAGAAACTATACGTACTCATACCACAATAACAAATTTTTGTCTGCTATCAACATGAATGCCTTGGAATGAGCAACATTTCCAACGACTATCTGTGTTTGACAAGCCTGCCTTGTTCTTTGAACTTTCCAGCAAAACCTGCTGACTACCATTTTCTTCATCACCATCCTCTTCATCATTTGCCTGATGGCAAAGGTCGACCCTATAAAATCATTGCCCATAAAAAGCATATATGTACTTTTGAAATAACAATACACTAGTTCCTGGCAAAATGTCTCGTACGCAAAAAACAATTACTAGCAGATCCTTCATAAACTCTTTTGAAGATAAACAGAAATATGATTTGTATCACATGACTGACAATACCATGGTATTTCCCAATTTCTCATGTAAACTGAACATGAGAGCATATTGAAAATATACTATTGATTTGAATTAGACATCTAGTGCCTGACTTTGGTTCTATGTTGAACACTAGCAACCTACAGGACATATAAAGTTATATTTACCAATTAATATTTATTTTATTATTAGATTTCAACCACCATTAACAATTGAAAAAACTACTTAAAGTCATGGAGGTCCAATAATCTGCATAGGATCAGCTTATGTGGCATTCGGGAAAGGATATGTGAAACGAACTAGTGAAGTGTGAGACAATGTAAGACAGAGAGAAGGAATTTGCAGAAGTGCTGACACAGAAATATATTGTGATTAGTCAAGTGATTTACCTAAAAAATTTTCTCCTTGTCCATTCGGGGATAAACAATTATAGTTTTGAGGTAGGAATGTACCACACAAACTACTGCTAGACAACATTGTCCCTTGTCTACTGATAAGTAGCATCACCTCAACATAGAAGGACATAGTTTTAACTACCACAATTGAAAGCATGGCTTACAATTTGAGATCAGGGGAGTGTTGGATATTGACCTGATTACTATTATAGGGTACGTAAGATAGGAACTGTACAATGTTCAAGTAGGCACGACCTTATCTTATTTTTAACAGACACTTATAATAGAAGAAACTCTAATGGATCATCAAAACATTAAAAGATAAAAACCCTTTAAGCATATATTATTCAGAATTAAATGTTGAAAGACAAGTTAACTGAAAAAAAAAAATTTGTTAAAACATGGTCAGACTTACCAGAAAGATAGGAGAAGAAGAAATGCAGCCAAAAACAGAATCTTGGGGAAGGCTGCAGTGACATTTTCACCATTAAACTACAGACATATCTCATTAAGAAGGCTCTAGAAACAAGTACTAAAGGTAAATATAAGTTGTTGTCACTCAAGAGAAACATACCCATGAGAACAAAGCCACACACATTAGACCAGCAAAGCCACCTTTGGCATGTGGCAACAACCATGCACAAAAAATAAATGAAATAACCTGTCAGAAGAGAAAACAAAACCAAAGACAATCATCTGATACTGAAAATATTCAGACACTATTGCGCATTTTATATTTTTGTATTTCAGCATCAAGGAATTGGTTTAGGATTTCTTTAAACCACTTTGAAGGTAACAAGTTCCTCAAGAATGGTTTCCGCATAAAAGCAAAGCATAAAGTCCTTTTCACAGGATTGAAGAGATAGAGGCAGAATAATTGTTATTAATTCAGGAAAATAAAGGGGGAGAGGGAGAGAGAGAGAGAGAGAGATGATTTTACATTCACAATGCTGCTTATTCAAACTTAGAAAGGTTCAAGTGTTAATGCATGAAAGTAACAAGAAAGAATTAAAGAGGAGGATCAGACGACATTGCAGAAGAACATAAAAAGCAGGTATACTCAGTATTGAACATTTAGGTCAGAAAGTATCAGAAGAGTCTCCTTTGGTATGGACAAGGGATAGGATAGAAATCAAGCGTATAGATAAGTTAGAAAATGCATGATAATGAAGATGACAATGGCACATAGGGAATGGGAGAACCACTTGAGTTTCTAGTGAGAAGTGTTAGATTATGAGCAATCGAGCAGAAAATGTCCTTGATTGAGTGATGTAGAATATGTGTATTACTAGTGATGAGCTTCCAGCCCTGAAAGGCTGACATACCATGCCTCAACAATTGAATGATAGCACATGGTTGGACAGAGAGAAACATGACAAAGATTTAAGTTGGCTGTAATGAGGCCTGCCGCCAATGAAAGAATGATATATGCAGAAGATAAAAAAAGAAGGCATAAAGAGAATCTTGAGAAATTGTTTGGAAGGCTGAGGATGAAAGATTGTTATTTTGTGAAAAGATGAAGAAGGCATTGTGTGGATCTTGGAGCTTGGAACTTGAGAAATTTTTAGGTTGGCCAACAAAGATTAGCTTGATGAATCCAGGCTGGAGACCACCAAATCAGATATATCTAAACAACCCAATAATTGGAATTACAAAATACGCTAGCACATATTAAGGATTAAACTTATCCATAACAATCATCCTGTAAATTCATGTTCTTCATCTCACAAAATATATCAATTGATAAGTGGCTTCTACTTCAAGAAAAAGTACTACTTGATGTTGTGGCTTCAGAACCATGAATGAAACATCATTTCTGAAATACTAGAATATCTATTCCAATTAGATCCATGCTACTTTTGATTTAATTAATAAGATAACAGAAAACCCTTGCTGTATAGACCGCAGCTTGTTAAGATCTTTGTCTTACTCTTACCACAACTAGAAGAGCCTATCAAGAGATGAAGAACCTGCAGTCAGTATTTGCTCCATCAGTATAGTTTCTTTGGGGGGAAAAAAAAGAGAGAGAGAAAGATGAACAGTATTGAATTTTTTTTTTTTAAAAAGAAAGGTATTATAGATCATTAATATACAGGAAAAGAATCATAAATGTAGTAGTCAAAGTACATGCCTTGCTTTTACAGAGCAATTACAGATCAGAAGATGTGAAAATTGAGCAATACATTATATTGAAAACAAAAATGTGTAATATCATAAAATGAATGGGAAGTTCCAGTTTCTATCATACATATAGGAGACTAGCAAAAGAAACAAGTTGATGCAAATGAGAATAAAGAGATTAAGAGAAGAAACATTTCTAATTCATAGAATGACAAGGCGAAGTGATCACTGAATCCAATATCACAACAGGTAACAATGCTCTGGCTTATGTGAAGTAATAACATTGTTCCTTTCATCAGTTGACTTAATTGAAGAGAACTCAAAGTACAAAATTGTTACCAACATGATGTCAGGGAACCCTTTTTTCTTGTTTTGATTTTTTTTTTTTTTGGAGTGCCAAGCTTTTTCTTTATCTGCTTCTCCTTTTTTGACATAAAGGCAATATCAAGGAAGCCATATTCACATATGGAGGATATTATTACCAAAAGGGATCAGATTTTTATTTTCATTATATACATGGTTTCCAAATTTCTTATTTCTTATCAGCAGAAACATTTTAGAATTTCATTCTAAATCAATCAAATTCTACCTTTCATCTGAGTGGCATTTGACACTACAGGGTACTTTGATTAACATCAATTGTATCTTTGTACTTCTATTATGAGTTTTGGTCTAATTATTTACCAAGGACTATGCTCCACCAAAAATCAATATCAAAGAAGTGTCATGAAAAACTATGACATCACATACATTTACAGAATCCACATTCTTGCACCCCAAATATCTATGAGTTCCTCCCATGTACTCCAGATAGTGGAAACCCAAATTTTATTAGCCAAGAGGCACAAATGAAGCCCACATGCACATGCCAACACTGAAGAAACCACAACAGACTAGGGAAACATTTAGCAGATTCCACTTACTTTCTGACGTGTCCACCCAACTTGTTGATTCTGCAGGTGAATCCTAAAGAGCTGGTTAATAAAAGAGCTACAATATGTCAGAAAAGAACATTTCTGATGTACATAACTAAGAAAATCAAACTAAAAATATGGAATTGAGTACATAATTATTTATTGAGATAGTTCTAGTTTTATAATTTTTTAAGGTATGTAACATAAGTTTAATAGTTTATGGCAAATGCAGTTATTTATCAAAACTTTAAATTTTATAATTTTAGATACGATTCTTTTAAATTCTATAAAGGTAGTACCTGAAAAGCATGTATATGCCCCATGCTTCAACCAGAAGTTTATAACCATTGCGGCATAAGACTTTCAGGTACTAATTTTCTATGTTACTCGGACACAGTGGTTCGTGTTGGACACCTGAATGTGTCCAAAAGGAACTTTCTATTTTTTCTATGTTTTTCCACATATTTAGAGGGTCAGACCTCCATAACCTTGTCCATCGGATATGTATGGGACATAATTACTTCAAGATATGAAGAGTTGGAGCAATATAGCTAATATTTATTTTGGCTCACTTTTCACCTTTTGCATTCGAAACCATTGCTTCGAACCCAACAATAGCTTGGATTTCAGATATTTTAACAGAAAAAAGAGCCAAAAGCTTCACTAATACAAAACCCCTTTTTAAAGAAAAGAAGCAACATAATATGCTCAATAGAATATATTAGGAAGGAGGCCCACTCTAGCAATTTTGTCCTCTCTCCCTATTCTTCCAAAAAAATATAATGGACCAGAAGTAGCCATTCAATTTGTCCAGAAGCTGAAATGTACTGAAAACAAATTCAGAATCAATTTTTTTAACTAAGATTTTCAAGTACTGCCTGTACGAATCTACACGTTTATAAGGTTTTCTAGCATTTTCTCAGTAACCAAGCAAGACCCAAATTCCCAAATAGCAAACATCACAAAACTCCCTGTCAAGAGAAAAATAAAAACCCAAATAACCTAATTATGCCAACACAGAAACCAAATGCATTAGCACAAGAAAACATAAACATTAAAAGCGAAAGGGTGCAGAAAACAGACCTGAAAGAAGGCAATAAACGCAAGAAGCGCATCAAGGCAAGCCAAAGCAATATTTACAAAGAGAAAGTTGAGAGGATAGCACTTAACCATTGCTTCGATACAAGAACGATTTTCCTTTCTTTTCTTTTTGTTTTCTTCGCCAAAAAAAAAGAAGTTAGAATGGAGAATATGTGGGAAAGTGAAATCAAAATAACTCTGTCTCTTTCTGTCACTTTGGAAGTATGGCCTTTAAACATACACTGTAACAGACAACGAGAGCAGAGAGCTTTGTTTTTGTTTTTAACTGTGTACTGTTGTGTTTTTTGTCGTGTTTCAGTGTTTGGCATTTGGCCTTGGGGGTTTTATGTTAGTGGCAGTGAAGAAATTATAACACACGGTGACGATGACATGTACGGACAATTTAGGACAAGAGATACACTACTATTGTACTCTTATCGGGTCTGGTAAGTCTGATTTTCAATTTTTGACTGTTGATTTGCCTATTCACATATGTGAGAAAAATAATCGAAAATCGATTTTAAATTATAATATTTGATTAGATTTATATCAATTTTTTAATTTATTTTAGATTAAATTTAAATGTTAAAATATATGTTAAGTTTGATTAAATTTTGAATGAAAAAAATTAAATTAAATCAAATTATATATATTTTAATTTTTTTAAATAAAAATAATAATTTATATTAAAATTTATATTAAAATAATATATAAAAATTAAAAAACTAAAAATTAATAAAGGTATCAAACCAAATTAATAAAATTTGATTTGATTCAATTTCAATCAAATAAAAAATTAATTCAAATTTGAATCAAATTTTAAATTTTATAATATTATATAAAATTCAAAAATATCAAATCAAATTTGATTTAAACTAAATTGATATCCTCCCTAATCTCGTCACTTTTCTTCTCTTATTATGCATCTAACACATTCGTAATTGCAATCCAATTTTTGCTGACAAAAATATTTTTGAAATGACTCATTTAATTAATTTCACGAAATTATTTTTAAATCCTGTCGGACACAATCATTTGAAAACATAGGAATATGCGTTTTCGATTGGCTTCAAAAGCGGATAAATATGTATTTTGGCTTTCACATGTAATGGGTATGTAAATTTGTTAGTGTTTAAAATCAAATAATTATAATTTTTTATTAAATTCAAATATAACGTTTCCAGCATTCAAATACAAAATCGAATTGAAAATTTACAATATTTAAAATCAAAAAGAGAAAAGAGAAAAGTAACTAAAAATATGGTTCAAAGGATCAATGGTCTCTTAAACTTACAAAATCAATGAATTTTTTAGGGTTTTAGATTTGATTTAGTTACTCTTGAAACGCGCAAGAAAACTAGAGCTGAAAGGCAAAATAATGTATTCTTCTTTATCTTAAAATAATTGTGTCTTATTGATTTTTATGGTCAAAGTAATTTATTTTTACTTTACTTTTTGAAATATAATATTATATTAAAATTTTAAAAAATATGTTTAAAAATTTTTGAAATTTAAAGTTTACGAATCTTATTTTAAAAATTTTTTTATTTTATTAAAAATAATGATCAATGTTAAATTAATTTAACAAAAAAATTAATAAAAAACAATTATTTTTGAAACAGAGACAGTAACATTAATTTGGCTGTGTTAAGCAATTTTAGAAAATAAAAAGAATTTAAAAATTAATTATGTACAGCATGTGGTCATAACAGCAAATTATATGCTCTACATAGAATTTTCCTTTCATAAAAAAAAAAAGGAATTTTCCTCATATGAAATTGGCTTCGGGGTATTAATATAATTTCACACATTTTCATTGGATTTGGAACGGTCCGGTGAGCATGAAAAGAATCAAAATGCATAAAAAAACAGATTCTAAACCTGTGGTGTGATATACTTGGACGCGGCGCCCCTTGAAAATACAAGGGACCTTTCAGAACCAACGATACGCCTCGTCCTCCTCCTCAATTCAGCTACTGCCACTGGTGAGTTTGTGATGGTCACTACAACATTTCTGGGGGCCAAGACTTTGCTGGGACACACCCGATTGAAATTTAATAAATCCACCACAAAATAATTGAAAAAAAAAACGTGTAATATACGATGTTTACCAAATAACCATAAGAAGAAGTTGTTGGTTTTCCCATGATTCCAGAGTTTCTTCTTGCTGTCCTTTTCCTTTTCCACGGAGGCGTGGTCCCTCCTACTGCTTCATCAGCATGCATGGAAATTGACTCTTGCGGTCTCAAATACAGTCTAATTATTTTTTTATCTCTAAAAAAATCTTAATCTTCACGAGTATATATGCTAGCTGTCCATTAGATATTCAAAGAAATTTGATTTGATCAAAGCAAAGACGGATAATTGAAAATTAAGCAAAATTTTACACGTACCCAAGTCGCAAAATAAAGATAAGAGCTTTTTCTTCTAGTAATTTGCTTCTCATGCACAAGGCCACTTTTAGTTTGTTCCTTTCATTATCTTCTCACTTCTATAATATCGTTCTTATAAATTACAACTTCCAACAAAAATTTGATTAACCCTTCGAGCTCACTAAAAGCCATTAGCATCCTTAAGTACTATAGTGAAGTTTACAACAGTTTGCCATTTGTTAGCATAACAGAAATATTAATTGTGACAAGACGTGTTTATGTTGTCGTGATTGAGGGGTCTATTTCGACTGGCGCCAACTCTTTGAAATTACTATTTATTAATAAAATATATTTTATTTAAATTTAATTTAAAAACTATAATTATTAATATAATTTTTTTTTAATATTTATAATTCAATAAATCACTTTTATTCAGACTTGATATGTTGGATTTTGAATAAAAAATTTTCAAAAATCAATTTAATTTGGCCTAGCCCAATTTATTGATAACGTTAATTATGATCATATATTTATAATTAATCTTATATAAATATATAAAAATTAAATATCATGTTTGATATATAAAATTATGATATGATAAAATAATATTATGAATAAGATTAAATTAAATAATATTATTTTCTCTTATATTTAATATGTACAAGAATTAAAATAAAATAATTTATTTATTAGTCAAAATTATTTTTCTTCAAAATTTATAAATTTAAATTATTAATATAATTTTTAAGAGTATACAAAAACATATAAATTTAATTCTATGGATTAAAAATAATCTCATACTTTTTCAAAGGATAGAATTGTTCTATTAGCATAGAATATCTTATTCTTTCAATAATTCAATAACTTTATTTAAGTACATAATAAATATGTGATAGATGATTATGTATTCTATCTTTTAACTAATCCTACATGCCAAACGTAGCTAAAAGCTCTAACCAAAAAGAAAAAAATATGATGTAGATAATCTATATTTCTAACATGTGAACAATTTAAAAAATTGAAATGTGTTTAGAATTAATTATGCATTTCAAATTTAAAATTTAGAATTTAATAATAAAATAAATTTGATTTTAAATATCTTCTTTTCATTATTATAAAACACATTCAATGATTCTTATTAATAAATAAAGAAAGAATCTTATTTATTTTTAATGACTACTTAGACTAAAATAAATTAAGAACCAAATCAAGATTAATAGTATTTAAATTGAGAGTCAAGATTAATAGTATTTAAATTGAGAGTAACTTATGCTTTACAACAATATATTCAATGTGCTTGAGAGAAATGAAAAGAGAGTCCTCAATTTGGGTCAAATTTTATATTCATCCTTAAACTTTAAAAAAATTTTATTGAGTTCTCAGTTGTCCAAACGTACATCAATGTAGTCCTTTTGTTTGTTGGATTGTCTAAATTGACAAAAAATCTAACGTGACATGACATATAACCTTATAAAATTTTATTACATAGAATTTTTTAATGTGCATTAAGCAAATTATAAAAGACAAAAGACAATTATGAAAACACCAACTAAAAAAAACAAATGTTGTCAAAATCTTTTGTAATTAAAACATGTAAAATTAAAATAGAAAAAACCCTAAATATTCAAAATCTCTTACAAAAAAATGTTTCGGGTTTTGAAGAGAAAAGGAAACCCATTTTTTGGGTGTTGAAGAAAAAAAGAAAGAGAGTTTAAAAAAGATGAGCTAGGGGTTGAAATGGAGGTACTAAAGGTTGAAAAGAGCAATTAAGGGTTAAAAAGGAAGAACTAGGGCTTGAAAGGAAGGAGTCAGGGGTTAACTATTTGTCATTGTGGTCAACAAGCTCGAATTAAGACGTCATGAACTAACACTAACTCAAGTCATAGGTTTTTTTATTGTAACAACTATGGGATAAGAGCAAAGATTTTTTTTTTCATTAATTGAATTATGAGTTTTATAGATAGAGTAGGGTTTTGACAACACAATAAATGTTATGTGGATTTTGAATATGGGTTTAGAACATGTGAACACAATTATTGATTTTAAATTTTGTAGATATTTAAGAACACAATAAATTAGTGGTATTATTTTGAATATGGGTAGCAAATAGCAACAATGGGTAACAAATTAGTGTTTTTATAATTTTTATTTCTTTAATTTAGTGTGTTTTTATTCTTTTAATTTGGTGATGATTTTTTAAATTTGATGATTTTTTAAATTTGTAGCAACTTAGTACATGTGGATTTTTTTAATGGTGTGATCTTCTAATAGATGAACACAATAAGGCAATCATTTTAGGTTTATTAAAGAGGCTGCGAAGAATGGAATACCAAAATCAAATCCTTTCAGAGAATGCAAACAACAACAATTGCAATCGTAAGAATAGAAATTAGAAGTAGATTGTAATGTGTTTGCTTATTGTTATTTTATGTTGTTGTTGGAAAGAAAATGAACAAAATTTAGTTTAGTGTTTAAGGTAATTGGCTTGTAATATGTAAGCTGTCAATTTTATGTAATATGATTATATTTCTAAACTTCTAGATTTTGTGTAATATGATTATTTTTGTGTATTAATGCAAGTTTGTTATAATTATAGTCATTGTCTATGAAAATAAAAGCACCATAAAATACAAAGTTTTAAAATTGAGTCATAAATTTGTGTTCATAGTAGGATAAATGAAATGATCGTAACATTTTCATTTACAACAAAAATAAAACACAAATTATGAAATTTTATACAAAACAAAACACAAGTAAATAGCAATTTGTAACACGTTTGTTATATTTCACCAAGTAAATAGCATATGTAGACCCTTAACTTTGGGCCAAATTTTATTTTGGTCCCTAAACTTTAAAAAGTTCTAATCAAGTTCTTAATTGCCTAAACATGCACCAATGTAATTCTTTCGTCTACTGGATCATCTAAATTAACAAAAAATCCCAAGTTGCATGATAGATAACCTTTAAAAATTTAAATACGTAAAATTTTAAAGTTGACTTAAATATATGTAATTAAGATATGTGAAATTAAAAACAAAAGAAACCTCAATCAATACTCTGTTATAACTTGATTTTTTTTTTACTCATTTCTTCCTTTCTTTTTTTTGGTCTTTTTTCTTCAAACAGACAAGAAATAGCCAACCACTTAGAAGGGTTGCATATTGCC